CCAATTTAATGGCTACACACTTATCTTTATTTCTAATTCCAACAACTTAACACTTATTGCTCGTTATTCGAGCTTACAACTTCTTGCTTATAGCTTAATTGCTCTTATCACGACAACACTCCAACTAGAACTGTGTTTGCTGCACCATCCGGCAGCCCTTATATAGTAAATCTCTAACAAAACATTGCTTCTAGAACATTCTGGCAACTACGAATTCGCTAACTAGCTGCTTCTGGCAGGTTATCGTTGATTCGATTTTGTTCTATCATCCGTGTTCGTCACAAAAACATTGCTTCTAGAACATTCTGGCAACTACGAATTCGCTAACTAGTTGCTTCTGGCCTTTTACCGTTGATTCGATTTTGTTCTATCATTAGTGTTCGTCACAATAGTAATATCAGTTCGGTAAATTAATAATTTGGCAGCTTCGGGCAACTCTGGTGGTCTACCAAGGATATTGAATGACAATGATGCTCGTCATATGGAACGGTTGATTTGTAAAAAATGTAAATTAACCCCTTAGTCTTCTAAGTCATTAACAAGCCAGTATACAAATATATACACATATGTATATAAATATAATATAAGGCAAACGAACCATAAAAAAACCCATTTTTTAACAAATATGAGGGAAAAAAACAGTTGGTAACGATGTTTGGTTCCAACATGACAATCGATCCAAAGCATGTGGTTATTTGTTTCCTGCATTTGGGGTATATTCCTGTAGTATCTGCAAATATTTTAATATGGTAACACTTATTATTTGTTAGCATGCAACCCTTTTGAGTAAGTTTGGATTTTTTTTGCCTTCTGTCATGTAAAAATTTAAAAACGGGGCAACATTTTCATCGAGAACCGAAAATTTGAATACTTAAAATTGTTTAATAAGTTTATGAACCTTAAATACAGTTATTTTATAAATTATAAGCTTGGGACGGCTATATATATAGATATATTTTCAGTCTAGAGAATCTCTTCTATTAGCTCGTTCCATTTGAAGCCTGAATAAGGGCTTTCTACTCTAAAGTTTACCCGAACTAAAAACCAATCAGCGAATCATAAAGGAAACATTCATAATATCCTTGGGAAAACTTTAGAATACTGTCCCAGGCTTTCAGGAATAAAATCGGTATGGTGGGATAGCTAAGATCCTCCAGATCAAGAATAAATAAAGCCGCGGGAATCTTATAGTTTTCGAGATATTTATCTTAAAAGTTGAAAATTTCAACTATTTAAAGTACGAATATTTTCGATTTAAAATGAATTGTACACTTATATTTTTCACTTTTATAATCACTTATTCGTTTGTGCACATTTCTTTTACATTATACAGTGCAAAAGTGTTTTAATTCAATATTTAAATCATTGTTCAATTCTATAAATGCTGATAATAACAAAAGGGTTGCAAAATGTCAGATAACCAGTGTTACCTTATCCTTTGTAAATGAACAGAAAGAAATGGAAACAGATTATACACCAAATACAGAACCCAATGACCTAGAAAAATAAAATATTAGAGAACATTGATGTTAAGGATTATTTTATACCCGCAGTGACAATGTTAATTTTTCGCGTAGAGCTGATTTTCGCTTTGGCGGCCTTCGGCCGCGCTTCAAAAAAAAAAATACCCTGGTCGATCCAACACCTGGGTGTACCAAATTTTTTTTGCGTAAAACTTCTTTTTGCGTTGGCGTACTTCGACTGCGTTTTAAAAAAATAACCCTGAACGGTCCAACACCGGGGTTTATCAAGTTAAGTAAAAACTAAAAGGTTTATTAATGTCTCTCAACGATTATGGTTCCTGTATTTGGGGTATAATCTCTCTTTTTATTTTATTTTTCTTCGGTTGCAAAATATATTAGTATGGTAACAATGGTTATTTGACATTATTTACAATTAGTAGAATAGAGAATTGATTTTAAAAATGAAATAAAGCTATTTTTGCATTATACAATGTAAAATAAATATGTACAAACGGATTAGTGAAGTGTTAGTGGATATAAAAGTGGAAAATATAAGTGTATAATTCATTTTAAATTGAAAAAATACGTACCAGAAATAACTGAAATTTTCAACTTTAATCGTAAATATCTTGAAAACTATAAGTTTTCCTCTATATCTATATATATTCTTGATCTGGAGAACCTCCTCTATCCGCCCATACCCAATGTATCCCCGAAATCTTGGGACAATATTCTAAAGCCGACCCGTATCCTACCCACGCTCTCTTGGGCCTAAAACCTATTTATTTATTTACACTCCAAAAAAGTAACGGGACGAATTGTCTATTTTTATCATTAGCGTAAACGTTGCGTACAGACCATTGTATAAATCTACAAGTAACCAGAGAACGTATATCATAGAGAAGGTTCATGGTGTGCCGATTGTCAAAATGTTCCTCTTGACGGAGGGTTACTCGCCAACTTAAGAGGATCTCACCTCAAACAAATTATAAGCGGA